CCGTCGGGTGCGGGGTCGGGCCTTCAACGTTGGGGACCTATTACTCCACCTCGTCTAGAGCAACAAAAACTATCACAAAGCTCTCTTCGCCGTGGGAGGGACCATACACCATCGCGGAGGTGCTCCGACCAGGCACCTACAAGCTCAAGACCATCAACGACAAGGTCTTCATCAATGCATGGAACATCGAATAGCTACGTCGCTTTTACCCCTAGCCTATGCATGTACTTAAGAATGATATTTCTAAAATACAAAAATGTTTTCTCTTATCGGTTTCGCTATCGTTACGACCGATGAACGTCGAAGCGGAGCGCGTCCCTCGCCACCTCGAGCGACCGATCCATGATTCAGACAACACAGGCCGCGAGCGAGCTCGTCTTCTATGCCGGGGCCAGCTCAAGGTCATCGCAGACCAGTTGAACGGCAACGCGTAGGGGTGTCGTGCTCGTCGCTCTCCTTTAGGAGGGAGGCCTTTATTTCGCTGAGCTCCTTCTCCAGGTGTTGGACCTCTTCCTAGCGCTTGACTGACCTTTGCGGCGAGGCAGGCGGACACACCCTCGGCCATGATCTTTAGGTCCTTCTTCCCCTAAAGCTTGTCCTCGAGGAGGACGATCCGCTGCTGGGCGTCAACGCGCTCTTGGCGAGCCAGGTCACACTCTGTGCGAAGCTCTTCTACGGTCTGAAATAGGTCCTCTCACTCCTTCCATAACCGTTCAGCCTCCGCGACGTCCGTGCGTCCCCTCTCGATCAGGGCCACAAGCTTCTCTTCGGCCTTGCAAGCGTCATTGCAGGTGTCCTTCTCCTTGACCCAATGGTCGGCCACCTACCGGGCAACAAGGGTGAGCTTGGCCACCTCCTGGTGAGTGGCAGCGAGCTGTGCGACCATCTCCTCATTCCGCCGCGTCTCCCTGGCAAGGTGGTCCCAAACGCCCATCTCGCAACGAAGGAACCAGGACTTCTCCCGGCTGCGACCTATAAGGACCTGCTCAGAGAACAAGTCTTAGAAGCACAAAAAGGGAAAACGAGCGTTGCAAGCATGACCATCTCATACCTAGGCAACTGGGGCGACGACATCGCGCAGCGAACCCAACGCGGCGGTCAGGGCGCTAACCGCAGTCTGAATTGTCCGCCTATATCGACGCGCCCGCCATGCCCTGTCACTTTGCCTCTCTGGGAATCGTGCACACGCCACCCCCGACCGTACCACGAAGGGCGCGCCGAATAGCGGTTCGCCCCCTCGATGGGCTGAAAACTGCCGTAGGTCAGTAGGGATACGGAGCTGAAAACGCTCCCACGGGCCATTAAGGCCCAGGAGTTCGAAGGTTGGCCCACCGACGGGTTCACAACCGCTCTAGGGCACCTTTAGAGTGAGGGGTGGTAAGGGATGGGCCCGCTAGCAGCCAGTACCCGGGCGCTCAAGCGCCACGAGCATCCTGACCCATGTTCGATTCTTGACACAGCACGGTCCATGGTTTTTCCTCGAAGAAAGGCAATGAGCCATCGAGACCGGTCGAACGGACCCGAGAACTATATGGACTGGCCGTCAGGAATCTAGAGTCGGTCACCAGCTGACCCATGCCGGACCCCCACGAACGGGAAGCCAAGGCTCTACTCAAACTAGCTCGTTAACAGCTCACCGAGCACCATGATTCGTCCATCGAGGAAAACATGGCACAGCTCAGCACCTCCGTTTTATCGAAAAAACGCTTGAGGGAGGACGACCTTAAGATGAGCTGACCCCTCGACCGGACCCTTGCTGCGCGCGGGGGCTCGAGAGTTGGACTCGCAAGGAGACCGAATGCGCGGTCGCATAACAATGGCGGATCGGTCGAATCCTAGGGAGGAATCAGAATCAAGAGAGATCTTTTCTGATCCCCCAAATCCCATAGCTACGTGCTCCCGAGGAGTCTGAACACAACGGCAAGGAGTCCTGACCATACTAAGACATCCCATGGCCCACAAAGGGAGATCAAAGTCCTCAGAATCCTTCTATCCAAAAAACCTTCGAAGGAGTATCCTACTCCTCCGCAGGCTCGGGGCTACTGTCGGGTATCAATATCTGGGATACCCGGAAGAAAGAAGCTAATGGCCGCGAACGGTAACTCCCTTAGATGGTCAAGAGCGTATCCTAGTCTTGTTCGGCCCCGAGGGAACGAGCTCCGTCTCACCCAACCCCTCGGGCGAGAGCCCCGTCACGTCTGACCCCGGGGGCACGGGCTTCACTCGCCCGACACCTTGGGCATGGGCTCTGTCTCGCTTGACCCTTCGAAGGGGGATTCCACCTCGCTTGATGGAGGTCCGTACCGCCCCAACCACTATGGGTCTAAGAGCATGAGTCCAGGGTCAAACTTCTAACGCCAAAAGGGGAGCAGACGCGTCTTGACATGACCCGTGGCCACGACGGGCCACGTCTGAGGATGCACGTTGCCAACAGCATTGGGAGTGCCGGCGTTGTGCTACCTACTTCCGGTACAGCCTTCAACAGAGGTGTCAGCTGGCCATACCGTCTGCTGGGATGGAATGGAACGCCACGACTAGCTGACGACGCCCACGTACAGCGCTAGTGATGAACAGGGCCACGACGTGGAGCCGTCCCTGTCGTCATCTATAGGGTCAGCGGGGCCAACATAAAGGAGATGGAGGACGCCTCAATCCCAGAAGCCTTCTTCTCTCCGTCTCCCTCTCTCTCTCTCTGATGTAACCTGCGTCTTCCCCTTCATCTATAAAATGGAAAGCAGGACACCCATAGATGGCCAATGGGCTGGCCCGACAGGGCACGGCATGGGCCCATGCCAGGCACGGCCTGATGGAGTCGGGTCGGCATGGCACGCCGTGCCTCCCGGGCTGTGCCAAGCTGGGCTTCGTGCCTGGCCGACGGCCCAAGCACGGCCTGCTGGGCTATTTTTTGTGCCGGGCCGGCCCGGTAAGCACGACTTGTGAAGCCTCTCGGGCCGGCCCAAGGCCCGCTTGGCAGGGGGAGGCAGCGCCGCGACGATAGCAGGCGCCCTTGCGGTCGGTGGCTCGGCGCCCTGTGGTCGTCGCTCTCAAGGCCGGCGAGCCTATGGCCGTGGACGAGAGGGAGGAAGAGAGGAAAGAAGGGGAAGGAGACGACGAGCGGCGTGCTCCACGCGGCCGTAGCCAGACACGAACGCATGACCTCCATGCGCAGGGTGCGGTCGCTGCCGGTCTGCCCAGCCAAGCCGCCGCCGCAACTGGTCGCTGTCGTGGAGGAGGAACGAGATCTGGTGGATTCGGAGAGAGAGCGAGGGCCGCCGACAGCGTGGAAGAGATAGGAGGTCGTCGGTGCTCGAGGCCACTCCGCTTGAAGCCACCACTGCGAGGGCGCGGAGGAAGAGGCTGAGGGGGCCGTCGACAGCGTGGAGGACGACGCGGACGGGGCCGGCGGCGGCGTGGAGGACGACACGGATGGGGCCGTGTGGACGAGGCGAGCGGGCTGAGCGCGATGCCTACGCGGGGTGGGTGGGGAGGGGGTTGCGCGTAGGCGAGCGCGAGCACAGAGAGCGAAGGGAGTGCGATGGCTGGGGGCTGAGGGGAGGGGGAAATGAAGTTAGGGTTGCTACCGTGCTGCCGGCCTGTTGGTTGGTGCTGCTGCCGTCGTCCACGTGAGCGGGCCACCACCAGGCCGTACGCTGTGGAGCGGGCCGTGCCGTGCCGGCCCACGTGCCTGGGGTAAGGCCTAGGCACGGCCTGCTCCTTTGGGCCGTGCCAGCCTGGGCCCGCTCTTCACCGGGCCGTGCTTGGGCCGGGCAAAAAAACGGGTCTCGTGTCGGGCCGACGGGCTTGGGCTGCATGGCCATAAATAAGGACGCCCCATGGAGGGGGGAAGATGTTTGTATTCGTACACATCTAACACGCCTGAGCGGCTGAAGGTTTAGGTGTTCGACAGTAGAGCAAGACTCAATTCCACTCGACCTTTCCATCTGAGACTTGGGTCTAGCTCAATCTCTCGTCCGTTTGTAACCCCTACTATAAACCAAGTGCCGGTAACACGAGCAGTAGCAAACTGTACGTAGGGACATTCCGTCCAAATAAACCAAGTGCCGGTAACACGAGCAGTAGCAAACTGTACGTAGGGACATTCCGTCCGAACCAATATAAATCCTTATGTCCTTCGAGCACAGCCATCCAAGTCAGACACGTAAACTAGAAATTTAGTGGCCCGTGATCCGAAACACTGACACTGCGCCAGCATGCATCCAGTGAGATTGTAGCAGTACATGGGTGGGACTTGGGAGCCGGCCAGCAGGCGGGCGGTGTGCAAGTGCAACGCCCACGGTCTCATTGAATGGTGCGCGTGCGCGGCGCGGCAGGCCGGCGGGGCACAGCCACACCACTAACTATTTACACCTACGGCCACGGGCCACGGCTCCCAGCCCCATGCCTCCCATGGCGCGCGCGCGGCAGGGGTGGCGAGCGCCGAGCGCCGACACCTCTCCCATCCCATGGGTGGCCCGCGGCGACAGGCTCCCCTGCATTCAAGTCAACACCTGACCTGACGCGCGCGCTCCTCGCCGACCGCTTGTCGCGTTCTCGCGTTGCTGCGGCTATGCAGTGCGGCTCTGGTTGCTCGAGCGCGCCTCGTCCGCCGGTCATGGGTCGGTGTTTCCGCGCCTCATGGACTGTAGAGCTCGTATGTCAATTCGTGAAGATGTTCTCTGACTCCACTATGGCGTCGACAAGGTGACTTGCGTGAAAACGGTAGTAATTTTTTAGGGCTGTTATCTTTGAGGGCCTGAGTACGAGTTACTCTTAGCCCATCTAATTTGACGCCGTTGGTTCGTGGGCCTAGCAGTTGGGCCAAAATCACAACGACGATTAGCCTGACGGCTGGATGGCCCGTTCTCGTTCTCCTCCTCCAATTTCCGGTCCACCAGCAGCAGCAGACTTGTGCGTCGTCGCGGAGGCCTCGCGTCGGGGTCGATCTGAACATCCGCCAGACCGCCGCCACCGCGCCGCAACCTCCCGCCGATTCGAGCACCATGGCTGCCGGCGAGCAGCAGCAGCAGCAGCCCGCCACCGCGCGGATCTCCTCGTCCTCAGCCGGCTCCGGAAGGCTCGTCACTCCGTTCTGGAAAGGTTGATTACGCAACTCGAATGTTGCGGCAGTGAGCTTCCTTTTGCTCTCTTCACAAGCCTTCTTTTGACGCAGAGAAGTATGAGAGGGACGCGAGGAGGTATTGGGACATCTTCTACAAGCGCCACGAGGACAAGGTTACTCTGCTGTCCTTGTTTCTCGCTCGGTTAAAGTAGATAATAAAGCTTTAGCTTGAGAACGAGAGTAGTTGAATTTCGAATCTAGATTCTTATTGGGTAGGATAAGTTGCTAGGAAGCATTAGTCGAGAAGGGTAACCTCACTCTTTTGTTTATGGGCAACGATATGAGGTAGCATATGGTGCTAGAGTAAAGGTCTGAGCACTGAACAAAGTTTGAAGCAAGGATGCATGACCTATGACCTATTTATACTAAATAAATAGATACCCTTGCCTTTCGTTTGCCGAGTGCCACTGGTATCACTTGTTGAGCCTTGAGACATCCTTGGAAGAAACTATGGGTTCTGGAAGATGGGTGAATCTGGAAAAGATTGGTCTGTCAGGTGGTATGTAGAGGCTGAAGTTTAATGTCAGGTGGTATAAAGAGGTTAAAGTTGAAGGCTTAGTAGTTTTTGTTTTCTCTGGTGTGTTGAGTTCCTGGCCAGAAGGCCCAAACTGTGAGTGGTGGTGTACACCGAAAGCTGTAAACGGTCTGCTGGTCTTGGTTATTCTAACACTAGGCTTTAATCCCTGTAATCCTAAAAATTTATGTTGTAATAATTATCAATTTGATGGCTGAGTTTTACTTTGCTGATACGCTTAATGCCATACTCCCTGAAACTGCTCAAGTCCTTCTTCCCCACTGAATTATGGTGATATAGAACAAACCTGTGAATCTTTGGACCTTGTTTCACATGCTATCGGTGCTTTCATTTTCTACTTGAAGCACTTTCTCATGTCAAAAACTTGCCCTTGTTTAGATCTGTTTTGTCATGCATTTGATTTGTGTCCTTGTACTTTGACAGTTCTTCAAGGATCGACACTACCTGGATAAAGAATGGGGGAAATACTTTGAGGTAAACATAAAGAAACACCAACCACCCAATATTGCCATAATGTACATACATGAAACTAATATTAGTCTGATATCTGATGAACATAGGGACGGGATGGAGAAAAGAAGGTGGTTCTAGAGGTATGTAATGTTGTATCCTTGCTTTGTTGGTAATGCCATTGATCCTGTAAGGTTGTTTTCTGTTACTGCTGTTGTATGGCTGTATCATATGATTGAACTGTGCATAAAATTTATTACCATCGTAACAATAAATAAATAACTTTTGAATATGAGCATTCCTTGAAATAAAATCTGGAATACGAGTATCTGTATCTTTAAGGCAATCCACGCTCAAATCAGCACAGAACCTATGACATTTCGTTTTTTAATCAGTTTTATACTACATATAGTTATTACATGCCTGCATCTCGCAAATCTTGTAGTGATTTCTTGCTTTCATAAGTATGATTGTTGTGAAGTTCAATGTAGGTTGGTTGTGGAGCTGGGAACACAATCTATCCGTTGCTTTCTACATATCCAGATATTTTTGTCCATGCCTGTGATTTTTCTCCTCGAGCTGTCGATTTGGTCAAGGTAGTTGTTTACCTAATTCCCAGTAAGAGCTGAAGTGCTGAACAATTGTTTAATGTGCTTAGTCTTGTTTTGGCTTGATGTTATTTCAATGGTATATGCAGAAACACAAGGACTTCAAACCTGACCGGATAAATGCATTTGTTTGTGATATTGCATCAGAACAACTAACCGAGAATATGGAACCTTCTTCTGCTGACATTGTTACGATGGTAACATGCTATATCTGATTAAGTGTCGATTAATAAAAGATGTGTGACATATTTTGGCTTATAGTACATCTGTTTGCAAGTGTAACAACTAACATATTAAGTAGATCTTTATGCTTTCTGCAGTTGCACCAGATAAAATGCCTATAGTTCTGGAGAATGCTAGAATTGTCCTAAAAGTAAGGACTCCGTACCAAAGATCACCTTTTATTGCTCAGAAATTGTCATAATGGCCTAGTTGTAACTTAATCCTGTCTTCTGTACCAGCATGGTGGTCGTGTTCTCTTTCGGGACTATGCCTTCGGTGACCTTGCACAGGTTTAATTTCTTATGTACTTCTTGAGATCTTGATATTAGAATTGTTGAAACTTTATGATTTGGAAAACCTTTATCTTTCTCTTGGTTGTGTATGTTTGTGTAACATTTGGAATCATTTGTTGAAGTAGATTGTTTGGAAATAATAAAAGAATAAGCCTGCTTGTTGCTATGTTCTTTCCATGCTTAGAACACAGAAACTATCTTTATTATTATTCAAAACACTGTTGCCATGTTTGAGTTCTCATTTGATTTTGGCATTTTCTACCTAGGTGTCCATATGCAGACCCTTTTTTCCCCTCGTTTTCCCTTCCTGTAACTTATGCTTTCACTTAGTTTATCTCACATTCATTCTTATCTACTATGTTTTTAATACCGATGCCTTTAAAGAATTTTTTCTATAGTTAATGCCAATTTAGACGCTACTGCCCCAACTTGCTGGGACTAAATGATTTTGTTGTTTTGTGTATGTTCTTGAAAAAAATAAACTGTAGGAAAGGCTTATGTCAAAGGGACAGCAAATAAGTGAGAACTTCTATGTCAGAGGTGATGGTACGGTGAGTGGATCGCTTATGAATATATTCTGCAAGGACATTCAGTACATTATTAACATATTCATCCAGCAATATGCTAATTTTCGAATGGTTACGTGAAACAAAACATCATTTTTTTTTTGCAGCGTGCATATTACTTTTCAAATGAATATCTGGTGGATTTATTTACAAAATGTGGATTTACTCTTGAGGAAATATGTGTGCACAACAAGCAAGTTGAAAACCGTTCACTGGAGTTGGTGATGAACAGGTAATTTTTTGTTGAGTATCGCTAATAACTCGTTTTCTGACAAGTGCCTGAATTTTCAGTATTATTTGTCTTACATAGGAATTGGGTCCAAGCTACCTTCACCCTAAATTCAGCTAGTCCTCAAGGTCCAAATGGTCAACACGATCTCCTTGCTTGTGAAGGAGAGGAGGATAAGCTAGCTACTGGAACATCTAAGAAGAAAAGCAGCAGTGAAGAAATCGATCTTTCTGAAGATTTTTGCAACATGTTTGGGACATCACACAGCCTTGATGAGGTGCAGTGAAATAATTTTATGTCACAGCAGCTAATTGATTACCATTTACTTTGCTATAAATTCGTCTGAACTTAATATTTAAAATTAAAACAAAGAGCTCATGAGGAATACTTTGCAAGCTTGGTAGCTGAGTCTGAAGAAGTAGAACAAGAAATTGGAAAGATAATCGCCAAAAGAAAAATGGTAGAAATTGAAAGGTCTGTTCGAACTTTCTCCCTGTTCATCTGAAACAGGGCAATTATGCTACAGAATTTGCTTAATTGGGTTTGGGGTATGACTGTTCGGTTCGGTGTACACAATAAGACAAAACCCTATACTTATCAAGATGTAGCATTGGCTTGCAATCCTATGGTTGCCAAGGCATACAATGTTTTTACTGCAACTGCACGGCAGGTCTCCAGCCTGTCTACAGATCTTTCTACTTGCAACATGACTTAATGGTTCATGATCATAAACACCATAAACATAAAAGTTGATTATCCTTTCCAGCCACTAATAATTTTGACTTATTTTTCTATTTATGATTTCCAGGTAGCCTTTTAACATTGTCATTGTCTTGTGAAGTTCACAAAGTCATTTGGTTTGTAGGTACAAATCATTGGGATCAAAGCAAAATGTCACGACTTCAAAATAAGGATGCTCAGGAAGGAATACCAGCACACGTGCAAATCAACTGGCTTAATGCTTTGGGAATCTGCTCAATTCATGTGCTCTGTTTTAGCAGAGAATCCTTCCATTGTTGCAGGCAAAAGGGTCCTGGAGTTGGGCTGTGGCTCAGCTGGCATCTGCTCGATGGTTGCTGCAAGTTTCACTCAGTTTGTTGTAGCTACAGATGGGGATGAAGAATCACTGGACCTCCTTAGACAAAATATCTCTTCGAATCTGGAGCCTAATTTGCTGAGCAGAATTATGATTAGGAAGTTATTTTGGGGCAACAAAGATGATACGAAGGCAGTCGGAGAGCTTCCCGGTAATGGCGCAGGTTTTGATTGCATAATAGGCACCGACGTGACCTACAATCCTGATGCTATACTCCCTCTCTTCGTGACTGCGAGGGAGCTGATTTCTGACAAAGCTAACAAGGATTCAGTCCCTGCTCTTATTCTTTGCTACATCCAGCGACGCGTTGATGAGGACTCCATCCTTTCTAATGCAACGTCCCAGGGTTTCAGGCTTGTGGACAAATGGATAAATGGAGTTCATGGGAGTAATGGTATCATCAGTTCTTGGTTCTCTGGTAATGATGTCTGCAGTGCTTTCCGGCATACAGTACTTTCAATATTGTACTTCGAGCTGTGAAATGCCATGATCTCATGGTTACTGTATAACCTGAAGAATTTTTGTAGCAGCTGTATCAAGCAATGGGCAAAACAACTACTCCCTCCATTTCAAATTATAAGACGTTTTGGCTTTTGTAGATACGTAACTTGCTATACACTTAGATATACACTATGTCTAGATATATAGGAAAATCAATGTATATCTAGAAAAGACAAAGTGTCTTATAATTTGAAAAGGAGGGAATAGATCATTACTGTTATTATTTTTTTATATTCTTGCCTTACGATTGGCATGTGAAGGGCAGAGGGTGGCGTGGCAACTTTTGGTAGGTCTCTACAATTTTAATATAAAGTTTGTGTTCATCGGACTTCGTATAGTATAAAAAGGTTATGACTTTTTAATATAAGAGATTGTTTATGTTTCCATTACGACTGGCATGGATTTGCACTTCTGTAATTGCCGTTTTTCTTGTATGAAAATAATTTATAAGCAGTACAATTTACTAAGTTGTTACTCTATCGAAGTCCAGGTAGCATCAACTTATACAAGCGGCCAACTTACTGTATGTCAAGGTTGTAGTACATCATAGACATGCCGAATCAGCCTCCAGTAGGTCCAATAAGAGCTGATTGTTTAGTGTCTCTACAAGAAGACGCTGGGAGAGTTAGAGAGAAGCATTGTAAAAACAAAATCTAACTGGATGGAAATGGGTCCTTGAGCATCAGCGTCATCAGATCAGTAGCCTGTTCGGCAGGCCGTAAACGATCGTGGATTATTTACTGTTGGCTGGTTTGGTGTGCGAGAAAAATGTTGTTCCAACTTATAATGCACGATCGTATACGTTGCTGTCTGAAGCTCAGAATTTTAGGCAACGGAAATTATTTAACTGAGTACTCCGAGTACATTATAAGGAATAAATAACGACAACGCTAACATCAATCTGTTACAGAAAAACAAAAATAACCAGAACCTCGAATAATACTAAACAAGGATCAGCTGTAAAGATCATCGTCCACGTCGTCGGCACTGACCGGCGCATCTGCTTCTGCCGTCTGCTGGGGCACATGACGAGGCCGACGAGGAAGAGTTGGGACACATACAACAGAGCTTTGCTAGCTTATTACTGTAAGCATTCACGTTGATCACAGAATACAGTATGCAACGGTCGATTCGAGGGGAGACTATGGCGGGCACTTGGGATTGCAACGATAGCACGCCGCCCTGCACTCACTCTCCGTCCTGTAGCACAACTCTTTCGGCAGGCAACAATAGCAATCTTGTGGCGGCGGCGTATCACAGTAGCCCTTTTGGCAAAATATCAGAGTCACCTTGCTCTCATCTGCTAGTGTTGTGGCATTAGCCCTTGTCCTTGCAGTTCTGACCTCGAGCATGTGAGGACGACCCGCTGCATCGTCAAGCACCCTCGTTTACGTGGCTTATAAGTCGGCTCATACTGTTTTGTTTAAGAGAAAAATATTATATCATAACTGATAAGTATAGCTGGTACGATCAAGCGAACAGGGTAAAGATTTGTATATCAGCATGTAGTGTATTATTATACACGCACAGACAATTAAAGATAAAAATAAGGAGGGTTTTACCTGTGTCATTATAAAAGTTGGTAATTACATATAAGCCACTAAAAAGTTTAAGCGCACCTAGGTGTCGCTGGCCGGAACTTTTTTATCATCCACGCTATTCCATCCGTTTATGCCTCTAACGGTGTCAAATTGTAATGAGAAAAATCCAAAATGCCCACCAAGTCTGAAAGACATGTAAAAGAGTTTCTTTCCTCTAGTGCCACTGACCTCCAACATGGTGATCGCTTTTGGCATGACGTGCTCAGTTGGCATCCTCGACATGTTCCAGCAGCTCGAAGTGACGCCATCCATATCGGTGATTGTGCGAGAATGGAGAAGCATAGCAGAAAAGACATCAGGCAAGAAAGGGTTTTGGGACGTGAACACGAAGCACGGCCACCTAGATGCAGGACTTGGGGAGCTGGTAGCCAACGTACATGACCGTGGCGTTCTCGCACAGTCACACTTGGCCGACGTGCCCTGGCACGGCACGCCACACCTGAGCATCACTGCCACCGGCGTCGACGCGTCGTCGTCGTGCCCTTGATGTGGACGCCGTACATGGTGCCGGTGAAGGTGACCTCCTCGCTGGCGTACCGACCGACGCTCATGCCGTGGCCGGGGCCTGGGGCGCACCGCACGCGGGCGACGTCCACGTCGTCGTTGCCCTGTCCGATGGAGATGCAGTGCGCGCGCGCACTTCATTGGTTCATGCGTAATGGACAAGCTCACAAGCACAACAGACAAGCACGTGCGTGGTTGATTAGCCTAAACTTGCACATCTGAGTATAGTACTAGGTACATCCAAGGTACACACTACCCCTACTCGGACAACTGAAATTGCCACCAGCCGAACACATGAAGTCTGCGTCCTGCTCTTCCACGTGACGACGCCTGTTCGCCTGTCTGAATTTTGGAGGAATCTGAATAATTTGGAGAAATGCTGGAGGAATTTGTGAGAGAAAAATATTGTTCCGGATGAAAAAATAAGCGGATCAAGCCGGGTTTAAGGGCACGCAAACGGGGCCGACATATCCGTCTGCTCGTGTCGGCTGTTGCCGCAGATGCCAAGGACCTGTGCTCGCGGCCCAGCTGGTGCGCGCTGAGTACACCGGGACTCCGGGAGCAGCTTGCACAGGGAGCGCCGCGGCCAGCATGTGGCTGGACACAAACGTCACCCACACGCAGGCGCAATAGGCGGTGGCGAGGCCTGAGGTGCATCACGGCCGTAGCGGTTTTCTGTAGGTGTTCCAATGGCCTGCCCAATCTACGAACGGGGAGCTGCTGTAGGCGGTGGCCGAGATGCCAACCCCATTCCTGCGCGGCGCGCTCGCGTCCATCACCAGGCGGTCCAAGCTCTTGGTCGCCGCGTTCGACGACCTAGTCCTGTTCGCCACGGCCGGGGACATGCCGCGGTCCGCGTCGCTGTGTCAGCGCAATACAGGAAATTGAGCAGGAGAGGTGGGCATCAACGACCCGACGACCTGCAACGTAGAGATTGAGAGCCTCGAGCGTGAAATCGGTGACCGCGCCTCGTAGAGGTGGACAGACGACAGGACACCGATGGGGCGAGGGCCAGTAGGCGGCGCTCGACCTCCGTCCAAGCGGCACGAGATTCATCGTGTCACGGCCCGTCCAACGTCGGCGGCGCGGGCGAGCTCAACACGAGGAAGGACGGCAGCGAGAGCGGCGGCGCGGAGCCGCGACGCAAGGACCACAACGAGCAGTAGAGGGATTGGAGGAGGAGGGGGGGTTATTTTGGACATCTTGACCGCCTGGACCCACATGTCAAGGCTAGCAAACGGTAAAAGACTCAACGGTAAAGATTCAACACCCTCGAACTCAAACACCGAACAACATAAACCTTAACTTTCAAAACCATATAAGTTACCTCCCTCGGCCCTAAAATATTCCATATTAGTTTCGATGGTAATTTTGGCGTGATTTTGGCCGATATGGCAGATATAAGGCATGTGGAATCTGTCTTTGGTTTTTTTCGCCATGTCATCTTTTATTAAATATTTGGACTCCTAATCGGTATTTTTAGATCTCGTCAAGCATCAAAATTTTGCAGAGTGTGTGTCTAGCTCCATCCGAGGCCATTTGGGGAAAAAATCAAAAATTTGAATTTCCCAATATTACAACTTAAAATGAATATTTGAGGCTTCAAACAATCTCAAATAAAAACGTCATCAACTACAAAGCTATAAATGGTAGCGAGATTTACAACTTTGGTATATAGATAATATCAACATCTGTGGCCATTAAATTTTTTTTAAAATTTTTTACTTTTAAAATATAAGAAAAATGAATATTTAGGCCTCTAATCGATCTTAGGTAAAAGAAACTTAACTATAAGTTGTAGATCACAGTGACAGCTGCAACTTTGGTATAGACTATGACAATATCCAAGGTGGTTTGAAAAAATAAATTCAAAATGTTATAACCTAAAACAAACATTTGAGTCCCTAAAAGATCTCAAATAAAAAAAAGTTGTAGATCACATCTCTAAATTTTAATATAAAGTTTGTGATCATAGGACTTCATATAAAAAGGCTATGACTTTTTAGTATAAAAGAAAGATAGATTGTTACTGTGATTTTTTTTTTTTTTTTTTTTTTTGCGAATTCTGTGATTTTTTTATGCTTCCATTACGATTGGCATGGATTTGCACTTCGGTAATTGACGTTCTTGTATGAAAATAATCTATAAGCAGTGCAATCTTACTAAGCTGTTACTCTATTGAAGTCTAGGTAGCATCAACTTATACAAGCGGACAACTTAATTACTGTTTGTCAAGGTTGTATATATCATCGACATGCCGAATCAGCCTCCAGCAAGTCACATAAGAGCTGATTGAATCATATATGTTTAGTGTCTCCACAAGAATAGGCTAGGAGATCGTTGAGAGAAGCTTCAGCGTCAGATCAGAAACACACGTGCAAGATCTGAATTTTACGTAACGCAAATTATTTATTTACAATGCTTTGTAACGAATACGAAAATGTGTTGGATATCGATGCAGAGCAACACAAGATCGTGACTTATAATAACGAAGCAACATCATTGAATCTTCCTCCGTCGCAACTCACAACAACGGCAGCCCAAGCGCGCGCCGCCACTAGACGCCGACTGATGACCGGCAGGAAGCAGCTCGAATCAGGAGAAAAATTAAGTAAACAAGAGACACAGGCCCATGCATGACACTTGAATCCAAAAGTAACACAAATTAAATAAGGATGGAAGAACTTGTAACAACTGTGATCATTCACATCAATCACAGTACCAACTGCACGCGGCAATAATGCATGGTCGATTCGAGCGAGGGGAGAGGGAGACTATGCCGGGCGCTTGGGATTGCATCTAAGGCATGCCGCCCTGCACTCACTCTGCTTCCGGTAGCATTTGGGTATCCCCGCACCACAGCCATACCTCTTT